GTGGTGACCATGGCAGAACCAAACTGGAGATGTTAAACTTAGGGCAGAGTGAGGATCCGAGCCCCCTGCACCCGCCCCTGCTCCACGCATGTGCCTTCAGGCAGATGGCCGATGACTGCACTTTCCAGGCAGGCCACCTTCTCTCTGGCAGCCTCTGCTACCGATGTGCTTCCTGGGAACACACCCCAACACCACACAACGTTTTTACACACGAGGACGGGTTTCTGACGCTTCAGGAACCGAGGATTGTGGAGAAAACCCTCACCAACGGCCTGGGAAGCCTTCAGTCCGAGCCATCCTGACTGAACCGGGGTTTTCCATGTTATCGTCCATCCACAGAGGACTATGGGACCACCGTGCCCCAAACAGAAAGCTTATCCTGTGATGAGGTGGCCCCTTAGAGTGACTCCACACTGAGCAGCCTCCCTGGGGTCTCCCTTCCCCACCCGCACCCTGCGCCCTCAGCTGGGGCAGGTGGGCCTCGCCATGCTCCTGGGCGGGTGGCTGGGCCTAACCCATCACCTCCAGCGTCTCTCCTCTGTCCCCTTTCTTCAGAGCTTCACCAGCGGGAGGGACTTACCCTCCTGTGCACGGCAGCTCCCTGCCCTTCTCTGGCCCACCTTGCCTTGGGAACCTCGACCTCTAGGTAGGGGATGTATCCTTAACTTTCACTTCCCTCTCACGTCAGCTCTGAGATGCCCTGTGCCTGCTGCGCCAGACTGGCCTGAGCTGCAGGCCCCCCTCATTAGTGCTCTTCCTCCCCCACTGCGAGATGGGGGGGGGGGGCCCGCAAGGAGGGAGAGGTGCCCTGGCTCCCCACTGCCCCTCCCAGGCTTCTCTGGGCCCAGTCCTCTAAAGCCTGCCTCAGCCTGTCTGCCTCCCTCTCTGCAGCTGCCCTCGCTGCCAAGCCCTGACGGCCCGCCATCTGCTGCTGCAGCACACCTGTCACCTGGACGCGGAGATGGAGCACCTGCTCCTGCTTCCAGGACACACTGTTTCTCAGCAGTGCTCCCCTCCCTGCCCCTGTGCATGCGGCCTCAGCACCCCCCCCCCCCCCCCCGGCCTTCCTGGCTCCCTTCCACGCTCGCCTCTCCCCTGAAAGCCCTCACGTCTCACGCTCTGCCCTCCAGAGCCCAGGCTGACGTTACCAGAGGACAGCAGATGTCCTTGTTTGCAGAGCCTGTCCCCGCCCTGGTAACTGGTCCTTGGCTGCCCGAGTCTCCGTGTCTGTCCTTGGCCTGGGCAGCGTTGCCCAGGGATGCGGTTCCTCTGCCCTCAGTACCCCCCCCCCCCCCCCGCCCATCCCCACTTCCTCCCCTCTCCTCCTCCAACTCACAAAAAACTGGTGGGGGAAAAGCTTGCTCTCTTTCATGAATTCATTTTTGGTGCTGGAAGCAAAAGGCTTGTAGGCATAGCACGCGAATGTATGAACATTTATCCACATGCAAAACTGGTAGAAAAATATGCCCTTCGATTTTCTGGGGAAAAAGTCCTATCAGCCTATGAATGCTTCCCTTGTCAACACAGCCATTCCGTCTTTCTCCCCTCGCTCAGCACGCCCTATCTGCCCACGCTCAGCTCTCTGCCACTCCTGTCTTGTGCCGACTCACTGTTAGCAATAAGCACATTAATTCTCTTCTCCCTTCTCTCTCTGTGTGCATTTAAACACACAGGAAGGCTAAAACTGTGAGAACACTGTCAATTTTCATTGGGGTTTAATTCACATTTCTCTTGTCAAGCCTGACCTTCTATTAACGTTAATGAATACCATCTGCCTCCGTGCCATTATTGCTTCTTAACGATATTAATGTGTGTGCATTGCTGCTTAAATCACACCTCTCCTCCGAGCTGGGTCGGGCGATCTGGCACGCGCGTTATTCACCCCCCACCCCCAAGTTAACGGATAATTGTTCTTTATGGAACAGGCAGGAGCTCCCGACTGCTCACTGCGCTCCCATCGCCTCAGCCACCTGGTCTCCACCCGAAACAGACACAGCTTCCTTCCTTCCTTCCAAACAGCGCCCCCCACGCCCGCCTGCTCCTCTCCTCCCTGTGAGCACTCTGACCGCTCCCCCTCCTCTGGGTTTGTCCAGGAACCACAACTGGTTCCTTCCCCTGGAACCTCCTTGGCTGGTTCCCGGATGGTCTCTGGAGCTCGCGTTCCTCAAACTCCTGCTAAGTCCTTGTCCTGACGCTCCTGGCCCACCGCTCATTGGCACACTCCTCTCCGGAGCCCCAGGCAGGTGCCAGACTCTGTTCCCGCCTCCCTCGCCACTTCAGTCTAGAGCCCGGCTTTTCCTTGGCCTTGACCTGGTAGAAAGCCAGCTGTGACCTCGCTGCCCAGCCCTCCTCTGAGATTAGGGGTTGAGGGCCAGTCTGGCTTCCATGAGGATCAGGCAGGGTCTTCAGTGACTCAGGTAGAGATTTTTAGTTCCTCTGGTGCCAACACTACCCTGATTTATACAGCTGAGGAAACTGAGGCACAAAGAAGGCCCCAATGCTAGTAAGAGACAGAAATGGGATGCCGCCCAGGCTAGTGTGGCCTGGAACCCCTCTGTAGCCCCCAGAGTGTATGCAAGGCCTTGTCCTTCCTTCCTCTGTGCAAAGCTCGGGGAGGGAGGAGGAGGGGGACGGCTGGAATGGTTCCAGGGACTGTCCCCCGTGGGGCAGGCTGGGAGTACACAGCCCAGCATGCACTGTCCACAGGGTCACCAAGAAGGAACCCTCGGGCCAGCTGTTGGGAGTCCCACTGCTCACAGTCCCTGGGTGGTTTTGGACTACAAGTATCTACACTCCCCGGCCTGCCTCCAGCCTGGAGAGCTTTCAAACATACCGGGATGCCCTGAGAACAGGCTCCAGAGTTCCCGGTTATTTTTTCCTGGTGAGACCACCAAAGCGCCCAGGTCCCCCGGCCAGAGAAGGCCCGGGCAGGGCCGCCATCCTGGGGTCACCAGCCCTGGTGCTGGGCCTTTCACCCAGGGAAGCGCCTGGCATTGGTCAGGGAGCTCGGGTGTCCCGAGGAGCTCAGAGGTGAAACAGAAAACCTCCCGGTGCGATCTTCCTGTCTGATCTTCTGTCTCATGTGTTCCCCTTGGGGACAGACAAGAAACACTTCTCTGAATAATTCATACACCCCGAGGCAGAGGCACGCTGCTCTTTTTAATAAAAAGGCTGGGCACACACCTTGATTACACCTTTCCTGCAATGCTAGAGAGAGCTCGGAGATCTCGGGAGCTCTTGTGAATGCTGCTTGGAATAGTGAGACAAGAAAAAATGAAAAGCCATTTCTAACCAGACACACTAGGGTTTGGATAGTATGTAACGTTATAAAGCTGTACTGAGCTATGAAATGTTGATAAAGGGAAGTTGAAAAAAATTAAGTAGCTGCAATTACCATGAGGTCTGATTTATTGTTAACACTGAAAAGGGCTGTTTGTCAGTTTTGTATTAAATGAGCACCTACTAGGTGCCAGGAGCTCTGCCAGGCTTATGTGAATCATTTCACTCAGGCCTCACAGATGACTGGGTCAGTCACAGCCCAGGTCACAGGAACTCAGGAGCCCCTGGAGGTCAGGCAGCAAGCCGGGGGCACCCCCCCTCCTGGTGCCCGGGGCTGGGTGCCCGGCTTTCTCTGCTGAGAACCAGTCATCACTTGCTCAGCAGGAGAACGACGGCTTTGGGCTCCTTCAGACAACATCCTATTTGTTCCTTACAAAACCACATCCTCTGAGCATCTGGAGGAACTCACAGCCTATCAAGTTGAATGTTTGAGAACCAGGTACCACTTGCTCAGCAGAAGAATGAAGGCTACAGGCTCCTTCAGACAACATCTATTTGTTCCTTATAAAACAACATCCTCTGAACACCTGGTAGGAACCCACAGCCTTATCTAGTTGAACGTTTCCCTTTCACAGAACGGAAACGGGGCAGAGAACTTAGGAGCTTTTCCTGAAGTTAAAGGGCCAGCAAGCAACCCTGCTGGCGCAGGAACCCCGTCCCTCGAGCTGTCCAGTGCTTGCCCTCACAGCCTGGCTAGCAGACCAGGGAGAGAACATGGCTTTCTACCAGCTCCGTGGGCCTGGCTCCCTCTGCGCTGCCATTCAGTCTCACAGGAAGTGCGAGCAGACCGGCGGCTTTGTGCAGCGGGCTCAGTGCCTGTGTTTTTTTTGTTATTTTTGTAATTAAAAAAATATTTTTATTGATTTCAGAGAGGTAGGAAGAAGGAGAGAGAGAGAAACATCAATGATGAGAATCACTGATTGGGTGCCTCCTACACACCCCCTATTGGGGGTCGAGCCAGCAACTTGGGCATTGCAGTGCCCTTGACAGGAATTGCACCTGGGACCCTTTGGTCCGCAGGCCGATGCTCTATCCACTGAGCCAAACCAGCTCAGTGTCTGTTCCTAACAGCGCAGACCCTCCGAGGGGTCGGTCTGCTCCCCAACCTGACAGAAAGTGGGGTACGGGCTGAGATGTGTGTGCCCTTGTGGGGAGCAGCACCCCATACTCCGTGGACCCGGGGGCGACTTACCTGGCCCTCTGGGTCCTCTGACTGGAGGCCCCTGCGAGGCGTTGACCTTGGAGACTAGTTGGAGTCTCGGGGTCCCACAAGGTAAGAGGCGCCAGTTTGTAAAGTGCTCCGACTTCGTGTTGAAGTCTCTCCTGGGGGGTGTGCCCCGGCCCCCCAAGGCGGCTGCTAAAAGCAGTGCAGAGACCCAGATGGCAATGACAGCGCCAGGGCCCCGGGGAGGTCTTTATTACGCCCGGAGCCACAGGGGACCCTGCCTCACACTGCCCGTCGCACCAGGCAGGCTGCTGGGGCCGAGCACCCCCAGCTCCCGGGGCTCCAGGAGCCCACCCTCCGGAGGAGCAGTGCCGCTGGCGCTGCGCATCGCGGCGGCCTGGCCGGCGAACCGTCTCCGGCCTCTGGGGCCACAGGAGGGTCTGAGGGCCCCGAGCTCCTGGCTGCTTCCCGGGGGGCCCGCCGCGGTCAGACTCACCAGCCGCTGCATGCTCTTCACGTGGGTGGGGCTGATGGACAGGGCCTCCTCGTACCACCGCCGGGCCTCGTCGATGTTCCCGCGGAGCTCGGCCACCTGGCCTCGCATGTACAGCACATTGTGGGACATGGGGAAGAGGTTGGCAGCTTCCTGGGTGCAGGCCGTGGCTTCCGCAGGCTTCCCAATGCCGATGTAGACTTCGGCTGTGGGGACAGAGCAGGGGATGCTTTCCTGGGGTCCTGCCCTTCAGAGGCCCCGGGACAGCGTGACAACCTTCCCCCCCTCAAGAGCCTGGCAGGGGCCCGTCGGGAACACACAGGGCCCAGGGCCAGCCAGGCCCCCACCCCGAGTGGGAACGCTGCAGGTCCGTAGTCCTTCACGCCCACTGCTACACACACAGGGACTTGAGCCACTTGTACCGCGCGCGGGGCCTTGGAGAGGGCACGGCACCACCGCCGAGTGGGGGAGAGAGGCTGTGCAGCCTCCAGTGCTCACTCTTTCATGCAATTCAGCACGAGGGCCAAGAGGAAGGGGCCGTGTGTCCTGACGAGTGTCCAGCCACCCTCCCAATCCTCAAGGCCGAGGGGAGGCCCTCACCCCTAGGGGCTCACTGGGACCGCCTCTGGGGACCCGGGAAGTGAAAGGAGGCGGTGACTTGGTTTTCGTGTGTTGGCCCTGCCCTGAGCTTCTCGGGGCCTGCAGCCCCCGGTGAGGAGCACTGCCCAGGTCCTGTCCTCACCGAGGGCCTGGCTGCACGGCTGACATTTAGTTCCGAGTCTGCGAATGGCTGTGCAGAGGGGTCCCTCGGCCAGGGGGCTCGGTGGGACGGCGAGACTAGCTCCTGGCTGCACCGGCTGTACACTCTGTCCCTCCCCAGGCCTTGGTCCAGATGTTCTCCTGACTCCCCAACCCTTTCCCCTAGCCCTCCACCCCAGCCCCGCTGAACTTGACTCCTCATTCAAAGAGGAGACACAGCCAGCTGCGCCGACCTCGAGCCCCTCTCGCCACGGAGCCCTCACGCCCTTCGCTGCCCACTGCGCCCGCCCACGCCGCCCCTTGTGCGCTGAGGGCCAGCCTCTGCCCCAGCCCTGGACACCGGCGCTCTCCGGCCTTCTCAAGTGCGTCACACCAGCACTTGGCCTCTGTCTTCTGGATGACAGACGGGGTCTCAATCCCGACTGCATCATCCATCAGCAATCAGCAGGCTCTGTGTCTGCCTTCCACCTTCCTCCCTGACCCACATTTCTCCCCAGCTCTCCTCAAATCCACCCTGTGCTCCCCAGGGTTCTTCTTGCTAGAAACGTGCCCTCGCCCTTCTCGCCTCCCTCGCCAGCTGTGCAGCCCACGTCAGGGGAGCAGGGCGCTAGGGCTCAGAGGGGTCGCCCTGCCGTGGACACCATGGTGGGACCAGGGTTCCACCCGTCCAAGTCCCCAGCCCTCGCTCCCCACTGTCACATGGGCTCCTGTGTGCACCCCTTCTGCGGCCACCCACCGCCCCTCCTTTCCCCTCCCGCCTTGCTGGCCACTCCTTCCGTGTCTTTGGCCTTTCCTCCCCACAGCGGGTTTTAAACGTGGGGCCTCGGCTCCCTGCCCCCAGCCCTCTCCCTCCTCCACCGACATTGTCTTCCCGGACATTCGCATCACGTCCCCGGCTGGGAACCTCACCCCCCAAATTCCTGTGCCTGACATTGTCACTTGCATGTTCTCAGGCACCTGACACAGGTTCTCGTCCCCGCCCACTAGCTCCTCCCCAGGCGTCAGGCTGCGGAAAAGCGAACCACCAGCCACCGAGGAACGACAGCTGTGCCTCAGTTTCTTCATCTGTCAAGTGAGGGGAACAGGGCTTTTATGCCCTGTAAGGCTATTATGAGGACTAAACGAGGCGAGACATAAACTTCAGGAAATAATGTCTGACACACGCAGAGTCCTTGATAAGAGTTGGCTGCTTGCAAGCTGTAGACCATTAATTAAAACCCGCTTCCGGGCGGAGGAAGGGGCAGTCTGGTGGGGCTGGCGGACCAACAAGGACAGTGCATCGGCAGGCGGGACCGGGGACCGATCCCTCCCACAGGCCACCTGCCTGGGAGCAGTCTTCGCCTCGCCAGGGGCCATGCCACAGGGTTATCCCTGGACTCTGCCCATGCGGCCTGCTGGTGGCTGGGAGGGGCCTGGCAGGGGGAAGGGCACAGGACCAGGCCAGGCCAGGGCCAAGGAATCCGTGAGAGTATCACGGCTTTCAATTCCCGGAGAAATCAGAAAATCTGATCTTGCACATCTAAGAATAGCCGTTGGTTTCGACTGTGAGAGGTGCCAAAGCGAAAGCTATAATTATTAGTAAGTAACAAGCAGAAATTAACCACCTACTGCAGAGTCATTTTTAGCTGCCATCCCAAGGTGGAAATTGGAAGACGGCACCCAGGCTGCTTGGCTGGAAAGGGTCCTGGTTCTGCTCGGAGTCACTGGCAGAATGACTCCAACGGCAGCACCGAGGTCTGTATCAGACAAAGCCGGGGGGAGACGTGTCGTGTGTGGAGTAAACATTAAATCCTCTATCCCACCTCCGACTCCTGCTGCAGGAAGCTCAGAGGCGCTTACTTCTGTCTAGCCTGGCTTTCTTTCCTGCAAGAGGGGCAAATAACCCCTCTGACCTTCTTTATAAATGAACTAGCAGCCCGTTGCACAAAATTCGTGTATGGGGTATGTGTCCCTCAGCCCAGCCTGTACCCTCTCCAATCTGGGACCCCTCGAGGGATGTCTGACTGCCCGTTTAGGGACTAAACGGGCAGTCAGATATCCCTCTCACAATCCAGTACTGCTGGCTCCTAACTGCTCACCTGCCTGCTTTCCTGATTGCCCTTAACCACTTCTGCCTGCCAACCTGATCACCCCCTAACCACTCCCCTGCCAGCCTGATTGATGCCTAACTACTCCCCTGCCAGGCCTGGTCCCCCCTAACTGCCCTCCCCTGCAGGCCTGGTCCCCCCAACTACTCTTCCCTGCAGGTCTAGTCAACCCCAATTTCCTTCCTCTGCCGGCCTGGTCACCCCTAACTGCCCACCCCTGCAGGCTTGATTGCCCACAACTGCAATCAGACTTTGTAGGCCTGGTCCCTCCCAACAGCCTTCCCCTGTTGGCCATCTTGTGGCTGCCATCTTGTGTTCACAGGGGGGCAGCCATCTTTGACCACATGGGGGCAGCCATCTTGTGTGTTGGAATGATGGTCAATTTGCATATTACTCTTTTACCATGTTTCCCCGAAAATAAGACATCCTCTGAAAATAAGACCTAGCACATGGAAAAATAAGACATCCCTTGAAAATAAGATCTAGTGCATCTTTGGGAGCAAAAATTAATATAAGACACTGTCTTATTTTCGGGGAAATAGGGTATTAGGATAGAGGCCTAGTGCACCGGTGGGGGCTAGCTGATTTGCCTTGAAGAGTGTCCCAGATCAGGGTGGGGTTCCCGTGGGGCATGGGGCGGCCTGGGCGAGGAGCCTGTGGTGGTTTGCAGGCTGGCCACTCCCCCTGGCAACACAAGAGGAGGCCTTGTGATCTAGGATTTATTTATCTCCTATAATTGAAACTTTGTAGCCTTGAGTGGAGGCCTGGGCCCACCAGGGTGTGCAGAAAGCTTGGCTTCCTCCATTGCCAGGGAAACTCAAGCCTCCTGCTCGTTCTGTAGCTGCAGCCATCTTGGTTGGGTTAATTTGCATACTTGTTTCTGATTAGCCGATGGGCCTGGCTTGTCAGTGTAGTGGAATGATGGTTAATTTGCATATTAGATAGGATGTACAAGTGGCACTGGCAGATACCCTGAACTTTCAGGAAAAGAGACTGTAAAAATGGGTAGTTGCTTTCTAAATGTCAGATGAAGGCCAGATGCCACCAAGAAAAGATGGATAAATGTAGTTTTTAAAAACTGGCAATAAAAAGGTCAAAAAACACAAACAAAATAAAAACAAGGAGAAATATTTCTAGCACATATCAGACAAGACAAATTTCTGATATAATAAATGCCTACAAATGAAAAGAACAGCTCAGCACCTAAGGAGATGAATGGGCAGGCAGACAATTGAAATGTCATTCTCACCCATCAGACTGGCAAAGATTGAGAAGTTTGGTAATTCGTTGTGTTGGCAAAGATGCGAGAAAATGGGCATTCACGCATTAGTGACTGAATATAAATTCATGCTATTCTATGGAAGGCAATCTGACACGATTTATTAAAATTTGAGTATGCACCCTCTGAGGCATCATTTCCACGCTTAGATATAGACACGAGACAATATATGTAACAATACTTATTGATGCATTGTTTATATCAGCCAAATACTAGGAAGAATCTAAATGCTCAGCAAGGGAGTCCTGGTGACATGATGACAAGTTCACACCATGGGCTCATGCTGTGCAGCTGCGGGAAGGTGAGTCAGCACGCGTGTGGGGAAGCAGTGACCTCCGAGTGTGGCTGCTGACAGTGGGTGCCTGTGGGTGGGGGTGACAGGCTCAGAGGTGGGCAGAGTCTTTTCGTTCAATGCCTTTTGTACAAATAAATACATTGTGTGCTATTTATTCAAAATTGTATTATTTATTCAAAAATAATTTAAATAAAACTGTCACATGGATCCAAACCAGGGAGAAAACATGCACAACCTATGCAGGTCGGCCGCCAGGTATTATGAGGAAGAGTCTGAGGAGGTGCTGGTGGGGGGAGGGCAACCAGAGGATGGGTCCCACCCCAGGGAAGGCGGGACCCTGTCCCAAGTACCCCTGGTTGGCCTGGGTCTGTGCTCCCCTGGGCTCTGGCCGGACCCTCACGGAGCAGATGAAAGCTCGGGGGTCCCATTCACGATCTCTCTGCCATTCAAATGGACACACAGGGACCTCTCCTACAACAGCAGGGAGATCTGAGACCGTCTCAGACGCCCTGACCTGTGACCCTCAGTTCTGAAGCTAGCCCCACCCGGGTTCCCATCACGCATTTCCACTAAGCTCGCTGGAAAAACCACCACGAGAGAAGAGATCCACAGAGTCACAGAAATGCCATGCCGTGGGCGTCAGATCCGGATCTAACCAGCGGCTTCCAAAGCTTACAAAACGGACAGAATCTGGCGGGGCTGCCAGAGCTGATGTGGACGGGATGTTACCTGGTTTCCATCAGCTGTCAGAGAGCGGGGGTCACGCTTACTCAGAGCAGCAGAGCTCCCACCACAGTAGCTAACACGTCCCCGTGTGAGGCAGCCTGCCTGTTGAGCTGACCTCTTCAAAGACTACATGAAGACGTGATAATGAATGTACAATAAGATTCTAAATCTTGACTCCAACAAAGCCATTGCTTTGGGTCCCTATGGCACAAACCCTACAAAGGTCCTGATCCCCTCCAGCCATTCACAGGACATACACGCTTGCCACGCGCACACAAGCACGATGCATATTCTGCCCACAGTCAGGCAGATACGGCACCCGGTTTCCGTAAGTCCAGTTTCACTCACAGGCAGAATATCCACCGTGGCCCACCCCCGTTACCAGCCGTGAGGGCTTTATTCTGCCCTGCAGGCCATGGCAGTCAGACATGGCTGCGACATGATTATATAAAAACCCCAGGATATCTCCAAGCTGCTCTGCAGTGTTCCAACAAGCAGCTACAGCATTCCCCCCCGAGGGTCACGGCCAGCCGAGCAAGGAGGAACAAAGTCTGGATGACCGAGTGAGTGGGAACGGGCCACAGGGGGAGCCGTCCTGGGACTGTGGCTCTCACTCAGGCAAGAGGAGTAAGCCTGGGGGTCCACGGAGCTCATTCCAGCCCAGAGGATCCCCTTCAGCTCTTCTGGTTTTTCCGACGTTGGCCCTTAGGAACTAAACTCCAGCCCGGCTAGTGTTGCTGAGTGGTTGAGCATCAACCTATGAATCGGGAGGTCATGGTTTGATTCCTGGGGTTGTGGGCTCAATCCCCAGTAGGGGGCGTGCAGGAGGGAGCTGATCAATGATTCTCTGTTATCATTGATGTTTCTCTCTCTCTCCCCCTCCCTCCCTCCCGGAAATCAATAAAAATATACAGTATATTAAAAAAAACAACAAAACTAGAGTCTATGGCCCATTTGAAAGACAACCTCACCTCCCCTCTGCAGGTTCAGCCAGTCTCTCCTGACCCGACAGTAGCCCGTCCTCCTGTCCCCCGTTCTCTGCAGTCACTGCTCATAAAGAACACTGGGTCGGCCGGGCACCTGGCCGGGGCCTGGCTCCTGTAAGAGCAGTGGAGGCAGGCCTGACGCTAACCGCCAGCTCCCGGGACCCAGAAGAGGCCGATGCTGGCGCGCGTCGCACAGGAAGAACCATCGGCACGTCCCTAAATCATCCCTCGCGTGTGCTCTGCTTAGAAGGATATAATTTGTTAACTTACTGTCATTTTATGGCTCAATTAGAGGTGCCAAGGCAGAAGAGGCTGGCTGGGCCCTGCCTGTGACACGCCAAAGCCAGGTAAACCCACCGGGTTTCCCTATATGCAGGCCTGCCAACAGCTCCAAACAAGGCTGAACATCAGACTACTGGGCCTGGCAAACGAGCAGACAGATGGACGGTGAGGATAACAAGCACTTTCCCGGCCACATTTGGGCTTTCACCACGCGCCGCGAGAGTCCAGCCAGGGGAGGCCTGGGAGGGCCTTGCAGATCAAGTGATAAAACATGAGGAGCAGAAGTTACCTTTTATATGGAAACAAAAACGCAAGCAAACCACAGCCATCGTTCGCCCGGAGCCTGCGGAGTTGGGTTCTTGCTGCTGACATGCCTGCACGCTGGGTTTGGGGGGGGGGGAGGGTGTGTTCTAGCTATGCAAACGCAGCCACGTGAAACAGAGGAGGGACTTGGTGCCTGCCTCCTCGGCTAGCTTCCAGCCCAGCAGTGCAGAAATAACATAGTTATTTAATGTTTAATAAAATAGTCCTGCGTCCTCGATGTGGACTCCCAGGGCTGCCTGGAGGGGGAGCGGGAAGGAAACCTCTGCTTTGATAAAGGCACCGGGTCAGCGATGTGCCTGTGCCTCTCCCAGGGACGCCGAGGCTCACTGCCAGGATGTGCAGGCATTGTGCTCATCAACCCATTGTACAGATGGGGAAACCGAGGCTGGGAGGAAGCATTAGCTTCAGTCTGTGCAGCTGTTTAGTACTATAGCTGGGACTCCCCTCCGAGCCTGCGGGGCTTCCAGACTTCTGGGTCTGGGCCCCCGTGCCACGCTGCCACTCAGAGAAAGCTGGGGCGTGGCTCTCTGGGCCCTGTTGCAAGCTCCCTGCCACCCTCAGAGTCCAACTCCAAGAGCTTTCCTGCATGCTGCTCTGTGCCGGGCTCTGGGGCAGGGGAGGGTAGGGAGACAGAGGAATTCATGGCTCCTGCAAAGAAGTACAGGAGTCTCCCCTTCACCAGCGGTTTTACCTTCTATGTTTCAGTTACCCACAGTCAACTGTGGTCCCAAAATATTTCATGGAAAATTCCAGAAAAAAACAATGCACAAGCTTTAAATTGCGCGCCAACCTGTGCTATGTGATAAAATCTCGCACCACCCTGCTCCGTCCCACCCAGGACAAGAACCCTCCTTTTGTCCGGGGTCGCTGGATGCCTGACCCGCCTGTTAGTCTCAGTAGCTGGCTGCGTTATCGAGCAGACTGCTGGGGAATCACAGTGCTTGTATTCAAGGCGCCCTTATTTTACTTAACAGTGGCCCCGAAGTGCAGGAGTGGGGGTGCTGGCGATTCAGATACCCCAAAGAGAGGCCGTAAAGGGCTTCTATTTTAATGTTATCGTTTAATCGCTTACTGTGCCTCATTCATATATCGAACTTTGCCAGAGGTGTGAATGAAAAGGAGGAACAGTGCGCAGAGGGTTCGATACCATCCAGAGTTTACAGCTTCCACGAGGGGAGGGGTGGGGTGGGGGGAGGGGTGTGGAACATGTCCTCCAGGGATAAGGGGCACTGACATTTGGGTGTGACTGCAAAAGCTCTGATTTCTCCTGCTGAGGGGCTGTGGGCTCAAGAGGCAGTGCCCACGGGATCCTGCGGCCTCTGGCCCGGGGCCCACTGTGGGCGGGGCGGGGCCCACAGCGGGGCAGAGCGTACCTGCGTGGAGCCAGATCTGTGCCAGGGTCATCCAAGGGTGCAGCGGGCCCTGCTTGGGGGTGCTGCTCTGCAGAGACGAGGCCACCTCGGACAGCGCCTGCTCCACCCGGGAGGCAGCCACGGACGTGGCGTGGATAGAGCCTGCGGGAGGTTTCCGAGAAGATGACATCAGGAGTGAAAGGACAGACGCGACCAACCAACCAGCTGCCGGCCCCTCCCGCACACAGACAGGGGTGCAAGACGGACACACGCCCCTTTCCCCACCAGGTCCCGCAGTTTCACTGTCTATAGTAAAGAAACACAGTCGCGGCAGCCGAAACCACTTCCTGTCCTCGGCGTTAGCTCGTCTCTCGGTCAACAACCAGCGCACATGCCAAGCCCCGAGCTCCCTCCAGATGCCGTCTGCGGGTGTGCGTGGGGGCAGGAGGGGCGTGGCCAGTGCATGGCTGGGACACACGTGTCAAACACGGCACACAGGACATTACACAGTGAGCTTGCAGAGCATCCCTGTGAGGGCCTAACCCTAGAGACAGCACGGGCGAGGAGGAAGGAACCTTTGCCGTCGATGGGGGCCGTTTTCAGGGCAGACCTAGCAGCTCCCCACTTCACTCCCTGGCCTTTGGGAGGTGGGCAACACCCCCAGATGGGAAGCCACGTTCTAGAACACGACCTCAGGCTGGCACCAGCTGCGTGGAGGGCGGGCGGTCACCGCGGAGGCCCCGGCCCAGCGGCTGCGCTGCCTGACGCTGCCTCCTGGCGGCCCTGCTGCGCTGACAGGGAGGGAGGGAGGGGAGAGGCGCTCGCCCGCTGGCCCGCGGAAGCTGGTGGAGGAACGGCTGTTGGCTTTTTTCGGGTCTTATTTAGGCTTTATCCTTTTTATGGAAAAGTAACATTTTAACTTTAATAACCAGGACTTGCTGCAGTTTCCCTGAGATTTCTAGTGAAATAAAGGAGGTGGCTGCTGCTTGGGCCTGACCTGACCTGACAGCTGGCTTATCCCCTCACTGACTGTCGTGAACAAGCGGTTCTCAGCCGTGGCTCCACCTCGGAACGGCTCGGGGGTTAAAACATCAGGATGCCGTAGATGCATCCCGGACCCAGGGCATCACCGCCTCCGGGGTGGGCCAGGTCTATCCGTCGGCCGCCCCGTGGCTCCCAGGTGCGGCTGAGATGGGGGGCACCGCTATCCAGTCAAGGAAGCCCGAGGGCGTGTTCTCCATGTGCCACAGCCTGGCTCTCGGCTTCCCTGCGGCCCAGCCACTGGGTCTCGCAGCCCTTTCAGCCCGAGGAGTTGTTGAGACCCCTAGATGGGTTATGTCTATTGGTATTTATCATAGAAATCAAAACTGAGACACATTTAAAGAGTCATTAATTCACTTCAAAGTAATAATAAATGACTGTGCTAGAAATGCGACTCATGCAAATTTCCCACCAGGTTCTCTGGCTCCTTTGCTACAAGAATTTAATGGCTCAGTTTGCTTTCTGGATGAACTGCTTTGTTGGTTTGGCCCACAAACGAGCGGATAAGAACTTCTGCCGAAGCTCCTTCCCTCGTGGTAGCTACATACAACTAAATGGGCGGATTCCTCTCGCAAGAACGTCTCCCTGTGAGTAAGGTCTGGCGAGTGAGGGCGATGCTGGCAGTGGTGGCTACCAGGTTCAGAGAACATTCCCTGCTTCAGGCACCGGGATTAGCACTTCACCTATAGTATCTCATTTAATCTTGAGGCAAAACTGAGATTTATGTAAGTTACCCAAAGTCAGACAGCCCACAGATGGCAGAGTCCGGACTCAAACCCTCGTTGGGACCCAAACACAGCCGTTCAGCCCAGCCCTGACAGCACTCCTGCAGGAAGGCTGTGCGAGCCTCTGTCTGTCCCCATCACTGGCCCGAGGACAGCCGGGCCTCGGGGCTCGGGGCTCCCAGGAGCTTATCACACTGTCTTATGTGAGAGCGGAAGTAACAGCCTCTCCTATCGGACTGTGGGCGGCTCCTCTAGACAGGCAGCAGGCCCTCCACGGAGGCCTTTCAGGAGGAGCGGTGCCAGGCACGTGGAACACACGCGTGCAGAGTGTGTGCTGTGCGCAGACACGGCACTGGACTGGTTTGGACGAGGGGCCCCCCTTTCGGATGCTCTGCTCTCCTTCCCCGGTAACGTCTGCCCTGAACTAGAACAGACAGTGATGTGAACACGGCACCTCACTCGGAGACCCCCCATGTGAGGTACAACTCACCCATTTGGGTATGGAGCGTAAGTGCGGTTTATCGGAGCTCATTTCTCCTTCCTGGTCAATCCCCTTTTATAAGCACACTACAGGGCGGAGGCCCTTTGTGTGCTGGGCCAGCGATGGATACTGGAGCAATCAGATATTTGCTAATAATAGCAGGGGACTAGCAATAATAGTAAAAGTGTTCAATAGTTAACATCTATATTCCTGGCAATGGCACAGGAAGACATGAAATTCTTCCACTGGATTAGAATTTGGAGGAATACAAGGGCTAATCATCATTTTGAATCAGAATGCATGTATCTGATTAAAAAATATAATCCAAATATTATCCAAAGTGAACTCGTGTCTTACTGTTCCACAGGACTGAAACGGTACGTGTCAAAACAGACACTGGCTTTCGATTTATGGACGTTAGCACCGAGAAAAGCTCATCCAACCTACATCTGTTTAAAGCGACTCTTTTCTTTCTCATCAGAGCCGAAGACCCCCTATGGTGTGCGTGGAGCGAAGCTTGGAAAGAGAATCGGAGGGGAGGGCATCGGACACTATCTCCACACGGAAACCTATGGCTGGAGAAATAAGCTTCCGAATCATCAGGCTCGACAGGTAGGCCAGGGCGAGTGGCTGCTGTGCCTCTTGTTTATCTCACTTGCTGGGGAAGTGCTTGTCACCGTGGCAACCCTGAGGGTGAGCAGCTGCTGTGCTGCGGCGAGGCCCTCGGTCACAGGACACAGTGGCTCTGAAACCGGGCACTGGGAGCCGCTGCAGGCGGAGGGAGCGTGCCCCCAGAGCTGGCCCAGGTTCTGTGACCTAATTGCCTGAACGGTCGAGGCGCTGTAAGAGGCCACACGGCTGGCGAGATCTCTGCTTCCCCAAGCCCTCTGCCTTTTCTCTCCTCACCCAGACCCCGAGTGGAGACGTTCTCTGGGACACCTGACACGGAGGCAGGGGGCCCCTTAAGAGCGGCCCTGAGCCCCGCACCCAGGGCTTTGTCTGGGCTCCCCTCGGACCGCCCTGTGCTGGGGCGGGAGGGGGCCACCGGGTGCTGGGGCGGGAGTTGGGGGAGGGGGGCAAGGACCCAGGGACTGTGGGGCCGAGGCACTGCCCTGCGGACCAAGAGGACCAGGGACCAAGGCCACTGACCTCGGAGGCTGTGCGTCAAGCTCTGGCCTCTCCCGAGGACTTCTGACCCAGCGCCTGTCATACGCCGGGGCCTGTTGAGAAACCCTGTCACACGCAGGACGCTGGGAACAGTCAGCTCAAGTTGCCCTTGCGGCTGGAGCCTTCACCGAAATCCCTTTTCCGGAGCACGAGACCCGCGGCTCGTCTCACGCACCCCTCCAGTGTGGCAACCGCCCGCGGCCCGCGTGTCACCTCTCCGAGTCCACCACTCGGAGGGATCTCAGAGCCAACAAGGCTGTTAAGCCAAAGGCACGCTGCGTTAGGAGGCTTGGTTATGTCCGAGAACCCGGCGTTGTCACAGCTGGACACTGGACACAGAGCATGCTCACGGCCTGCTGTCCTCCGGACGGGCCTGGGGGCGCCGAGTGAGTGGCTGTGGTCTGAAGGACGGCCACCTGCCCTGTCCCCTCCTATCTTCACAGCACGGTGACAGGCGAGCAGCAGGGTCCAGGAACAAGGGACAACAGTCACTGATGCATAAAAATAAAAATAAAAAACCAACCCTCCACCGAATAGACCTCAGTAGGCACATCGCACTCAGGATTCTGGCTGTTCTATGCCTCCCGGCCCCAGCGTGAACTCCGGAGCCTCATGTGCCTGAATGTGGGACTGTGATGGGGGACAAGCCCCTTTCCCTGACTGCCATCCGCATTCTCTCTGCCTGATGCCGCGGCAGCCACCTGCCCTCCCGAGTTGGTAAGACGCGGAGCTGCTCCGGCCTGGCATTCGGATCACCTGCCGCACCTGAATCTCTGTGTTTATTTCCCCTCGGTCCCGACGACGTCATTCAAGGTTATCTGTCAATAGAGGTTACGCAGCTTCCAGGTCCTAGCGTCTGTGCCCCCCCCCAAACTATTAAAACAAGTAGGAAAAGAGGGGCAGTTCCCTCCCAAAGACCCTGGCTGCCATCACGCTGCCATCTGCGTGACTAAGCATCCTGCCGCAGCGCTGTGCTTAACCTTTTTCCTTTAGAGCAGGAAGAGACTTTCTGTTTCTCAAGACAGGGCTTGGGAGCAAATGAGTCCGATACTGCAGCCTGCTGGCAGCAGGAGACCCCGGACCCTGCCACCTGTGCAGCTGTGCTCTGAGAACCCGGGTGCCCTCGGGCTGAGGAGCTAATGATGATTCTCTCTTGGTTTTTGAAGGGGGAGGGGAGATAGAGCCCATGCTCACTTCAAGCCTCAAATTAAGTGTCCTCTCTCTGTACCTTTTTAGGAACTTTAAACATTTGGTCTGTGTCTCCGTCTCCACCGCCCGTCTTTGCTGGGGGTAGTCCTGTCTGTCTGAGCATGCGACAGGGGAGTGGCCTCCTGGAGCTGCCTGCCACCATCCTCCCTCCCACATTTCTAACCCCTGGGTTTGCCACCTGCCCTCTTTGCAGCATGCCCACTAATGTGACAGGGACATGGGGCTGGAGCGGCTCTAGGGACAGCTGCCTGGTCCTCCCCCAGTCCCACTGGCAAGGAGGCCTCCAGCTGCGGGCCCCGCTGACAGATAAGAAGCGTGGTCACCATTCTACTGTTCCTTTTCGCTGAATGGAAGAGACTAGGACAGCAACACCAGTCCCCAGACAAGGTCACAATTTCCCACCGACCGACAGAATCATCAAGCACAGTTGAAACCTGACAAATTGTGCCTCTGAGAGGGAAGGTTCTCCCGGGAAAGCGTTAGGGAAGGGTGACACTGAGGCAGGGAGAGGCAGGTATGGTCCCAGGCGGGCATGCGGGGTGGCCCAGCAGGCTGCGGGCAGTGCTGGCCCGGCCAGGCGGTCACACTGAAGCGTGGGGGGTGCCGTGCCCGTGCATGCAGGGAGATGCCAGCTGTCGGGGCCACACGGCCGGGGCTGGAGACAGTACCTGCTGGAGGACCACATCCCCGCTCGCTGAGGCCGTGTCTCTGGCGCGAGTGCCCTTCTGCCCGGGAAGGCGTGCCCGACTCTGAATGCAGCGGACAGGAACAGCCTCCCAGGTTTGGGGACCCTCTGATTGCTGGACACGTACTCCTCAACTCCTACCGTTTATTTACTGGCTTGTCCATCTCCCAAAGCCCCATCCAATCTTGTTTAAAGAAAGACCCCATGGGACTTACGAAGGAGACTTGAATTTAATCCAATTAGCAAGAAAATATTTATATTTGAATCATTAAGGCTGAACTTTTAAGATGGACACCCCTCAAATGCAGTGGGGTCAGCTATAGAGTAAGTTTTTCATAGACAGGATTTTTAAAAAGTGACTTTATTCTATTAGGCAGGAGCAGAGGGTGAAATATACCACCTGACCAGTTACCTCCTGATTGTGCGTGATATACTTTCTGAATGTTAGAAAATTCCAAGTCAGTAATAAAATGCTAGCCATAACAAAGGGATAAAAATCTACTATCTTTAATTTTCATTCCTCAATCTATTTCACCCGAGGGTGTGTGTTTTCATTAACCCGTTTATTCTCTCCTCCTGGTGATGTCGCCGGAATCTGTGATATGAAAAACAGAGCCCAGGAGCAGAGGGCCCAAGGCGGCATTCTTGATTTTAGCTCGCCATCGGAGAGGAGAATAAAGCGTCAACACACACTTTTCTCCAAAATGATGCTTCCAAGCATCCTCGCCAGTGGGGGCGCTGAGGGCCCAGAGGTCTCAGGAGGGACGGCAGGGGCAGCGGGGGCATTCCTGTGACTTGGGGGAAGGGCGCCTGGCTGGGGCCTGGAATCAGGACCAGCGACCCGCAAACCATAAAGTAAGGTGACCAGACGTCCCGATTTTTAACTATTTGTCCCGTGGCGTTTAAAAAAAAAAAAATCGGGACTTTTAAAAACGCCACGGGACGTGGGACAAAAAAATCGGGACTGTCCCGCCAAAAGTGGGACGTCTGGTCACCTTACATATTCCAAAGGGAGACTCAGCAAGCGGCCATTTCCAAAGGAGGAATCTAGGGCCCAGGGAGACAGAGTTGAGTTGTCTGGGTCCCTCTGCAGACCTGCCCTCGAACCCGGCTTCCTGACCTTTGAGAGCTGGGCTGCTTCTAGGGAATGTAGAAAATCCGAGTCCCTGGGATAAATATGTCACCCCCTCCCCCCATGAAGCCCCACCGTAACTCGCAGGGGCTGCCTGAAGGTCTCCTGTCGCCTGACTTTCTAAAAATCAAGCCTTTTTCATGTACCCGAGGAGCCTGCTATTGGAGGGACCCTGGCGTGAAACCTTTTTCTTTCTGAAGAACCCTAATGTAAGGATGATAGCAAACGTCTGTTTTCGCTTATGGACTTTCAAAGGCAAAATGAAGTCACGTAGGTCGAACAAGATCATCTCCTGGAGGGGTGCACTGGCCACAGGCAGGAGGGCTCAGATTTCACACGCACCGGGTCATCATGCACCTTAGCATTTCCAAGACGCAGTGCCTGGAACAGCGGTTCCACAGGGCAGGAAATCGGTGAAATCGGGTTGGACGCACTGGGCCAGAGCTAAGAGAGTCTGGCATTTTTTTTTTTAACTGCAGACTTCTCAGAGCCTTTAATGTGCTCATGTGAACTGTGAGTCTCTAAAAACATTGGGCCAGGCAGAATCGGTGTCTAAGAAACAGCCTTTGGAAAATGCGGTCATCTACTAGGGCCTTAAAGAATGATACCACCTGAAGCACTAGTTCTAGATACAGGGAATTGTTTTGTCTCCTTTAAATTTTGGCAGGTGTAGTTTACGTTTGATGATGTCTGTTTAGCTTATTTTAGGGAAATGAATGATTAGAATTGCTTTTCTATGCTGCAATAATGGCTGAACTGGAAAGGAAGGTCACGATCCCACTGGTTCCCTCTACCCAAAATTTACAGATGGCCCGCACCTGGGCCACCAGGTGTCCCACTTCCGATCAGCACAGGGGGGGCTTCTGACCCTCCGCTCACAGCCTTACTGGGCACTTTCCCCGCTAGGCCTTCTTCTGTGGTCCTTTCCAGGCAAGTACTGCCTCCTCAGAATGTCAATCCACGCGGTGGCAGAAGCATTAGCCCTCAGGAGAGATGAGCCCCGGAGGGGTGGGGGTGGGGGTGGGGGTGGGGGAGGCGAGTGGGCAAAGCGGGTGGCAGCTGAATGTCCACACCATCCCACAACCACCCGCCAGCAACCACCACACACATTCCGTGAGGGAGGGAAGCGTGACTCTGAGCCCTGGGGAAGGTGAGCAGACCGGTGGACTACTTACTAACTGAAAAAAGGGAGGGAAAACCATGAAAGTATACTTCTGGAGAGTTGCCTTGGAACAACAAATCAAACCAAAAATTAAAACCAAGAAACAAAACATTTGAAAGAAATCAAAATTAAGGCTACAAAAAGCAAATAGAGTTCTAATAACCTTCCAACTGTAAGCCTGGCTGTCTGGAATCGGATTTTGACTCAAGAATGACACAGAGTTTTCCACTAACAATGATTTTTTTTTTTTTTTAAACAAAGGCCAACTGGGCATTCCCCTCTGTGTCTCAGCGCTCCGGGCGCAGGCGAGCTGACCAGTCCGTGTGCTGTGTTTTGTTTCCAGGGCAGGAAATTCCAGAGGGAAGGGAAAAATAATCAAACAAGCGGTTTTCAGATCGTTCTGCACATGAACCCTGATTGTGATTCCAAGAGTTTTGTAAGGTTGGCCAGTTTTCATCTCTATGAAGTCAAAGGATTGGAGGGAGAAATTAATAAAACGTCAGGTTGCTGCTGTCTGTCCCTAGACTTGGGATTCAAGTTCATAACTTTAATCGGGAAATCCTACACTTAATCGCCGACGTATGGTATGCTTCTCTGTCTCTAACTACACGTTGCATCCAGGGGGCGGGGAAGGTTCCTGGGCGAGTCAGTCTTAGTTAAAACACCTGGTTACTGCCGAAACCGGTTTGGCTCAGTGGATAGAGCGTCAGCCTGTGGACTGAAAGGTCCCAGGTTCGATTCCGGTCAAGGGCATGTACCCTGGTTGCAGGCACATCCCCAGTAGGGGGTGTGCAGGAGGCAGCTGATCGATGATTCTCATCAATGTTTCTAACTCTCTATCCCTCTCCCTTCCTCTCTGTAAAAAATCAGTAAAATATATTAAAAACACACACACACACACACACACACACAAAAAAAAAAAAAAAAAAAAACCTGGTCACTGGCCAGGTGCTCCCTGAATGTGGGGGTGGGGGAGATGACTCACAGCCTCAGAGACGGACAACTGAGCACCGTTTGGGTTGTAGATGTTCAGCAGAAAGCCCAGTGGGCGCTCCTCACCCAGCATTTCACTAGCTGATCTGCTCTAATGTGCCTCACAAGAGCCAGGACTTCAGTTGCCTGGGTTTACAGGAACACAATGTGATACCCACTGGCAGGGAACGGAGGTCGGAGGGCATGTTGTGCGAATGAGTGGACGGGCATGGGAACATTGCTGAGGGATTCTAGAACAGTGAGATCCCGTTTTATGACAAAAAACAAAAACAAAAAAACACAAAAAACTGGGCAACAGTCAATACAAAAAACAGCTTTTGTGGGGGGAAAAATGAAGTTGGCAATTGCTGCTAGGCATTGTTTTGAGGGGGGAAAAATCTATTTTTAAGAAAGGGATTAAAAACAACATAAACAGTTTATAGTTCACTACAGGCCTGGTGCATGACATGTGTGCACTGGGGGAGGGGGTGTCCCTCAGCCCAGCTGCGCTTTCTCGCATCTTGGACCCCTCGGGGGGTGGGGAGCAGGACTAGGCCGGCAGGTGGACATCCCCCGAGGGGTCCTTAGGGCTGCTGTGGAGGCGGGAGAGGCTGCCCACCACCTCCGATGCTGTGCTCATTAGCCTGGCTTCTGGCTGAGCGGTGCTCCCCCTCTGGAAGTGCACTGACCACCAGGGGGCAGATCCTGTGTTGAGCATCTGCCCCCTGGTGGTCAGTGTGTGCCATAACGATTGGCCGTTGGCTCGATTTGCATATTAGCCTTTTATTATATAGGATAGCATTATTTCCATCTTCCAATTCATGAAACTGGGATTGTCATTCAAGCAAGTTTCAGAGCACCGAGTATGCAGACAGGTAAGATCTGGATGACTTATTTTAAATGATAGCCTTGTTTTTGTCCTGGCTCTGTGTGTGTGTGTGTGTGTGTGTGTGTGTGTGTGTAACAGAGCGGTTAGCCATATAAAAGATGAGCACATTAGAGAAAGTAGTTTTCGCTGGCAATAGTTCTCCTCATGAGCTTTTGTCAGCATATAACTGCTTATTTGGAACAAAGATGAGTCCTTATAAATCATGGATATGGAGATTAATTTTTCTGGTGAACATTAAATTAATGAGTCTAAGAAAAAAAGGGTGGATATCCTCATATTTAGGTCCCATTTTAAGCCTTTACCAGCCAGCATTCCATTTAATTCAGGCTTTTTCTTTTCATTGACAGGGTCCCACACCCCCCTAAACAGCCTTGAAATTTTCAGTATTATCTAAAAGCAAGATTAGATTAAAATGCTGCTCAATTTTTTTCCTGAGTATTTTCACAACATAAACCCTACATTTCCCTTTCCTGCAAATGGAAAATGATTTCTAGCATTGCTTTTCAAAATGCTGTGCAGAAGCCACGAGCTCTGGAATTAAACGGGGTATCTTATAAATGGGGCTTCCTGGGCCCCCCCTCAGGCCCACTGGACTACAGACTCTGGGGTGGGGCCCGGGATCTAATCCACAGCTTTCAAAGCTCTTCGTGTGACCTTAAGGCTCAGGAAAGTTCGAGAACCGCATACTTAAAGGGCACAGGACCATTATCTTTCGAGAGCTAGCTTGATTTTTACATACTTGTTGAATTAATTTCTAAATTGGAAAACCAGAGATATGTAGACTAAATTATCTGCCAATTGTTCTAATTTGCCTTTAAAAAAAAACAAAAAACTTGCAATTTTAATGCCTTTCTATCAATGCCAGGAAAGCACAGAAAGTACCTAGAAAAGCTTCTGTTTCTTCTGCTCAAAAAACAGGTTTCTTTACTTTTCACAGAGAAGGCTGGAAGCTGGGCGCCAATACCCCCTCCTGCCCCAAATGGCCTTTTGGATCTTCAAATTAGTAAGATTTTTTTCTCTCAGATAAATTTGATGGAGTTCCCCATCCAGCTTATCAGTTAGGAAGATTATCAGAAAGTGAAACATCAGGCAAATGAAGCGGATCTACCAAGAAAGGAAAACCATGTTTACACCGAGAGGGCTCCTGGCGGGGGCTTGGGCCATGGGATGAGTGAGCTGCTGGGGGCCACACAAAGATATCGGGTTTGGGATGAGAATGGAGATGAGAAGATACAAACAGGTGGAGAGGAGACTCGGTTCTTGAAAGAGAAGAGGAGGAGGAGGAATCTGACACTAAAAAGTGAAAGAGAAAAAAAGGATGAAAGCAAAACAAAAACTTTAGAAACACAAAGAAAAAATAAAACTAGCTTTTAATATACTCACATAAGCTGCAAAGAAAACAAGGTCATGTCATACACAATCATTCCTCTACTCGACAACAGGATACAAGTGGTTGTTTTTTTTTTTTTTTTAAGAAAACAAATCTGTTGTTTCCCGTTGGTTGTTTAATTGCTCTGTAGCGACAGCATGGAGTCTACACAACTCAGGTTTGCCTGGGCACCGATTCAGCCACAGACCCACCGAGAAGAACATGTCTGTACCCTACAACCCCCAGGGCATTCTGGGGGAAACCATTGGTCTTTCCGTCGAAAAGGGTGAGGACTTGACGCTTTCTAGGTTTGCTTTCTATGAGAAGCACTTACTCAGAGTGTAGAGTGGACCCTCGGTTCTCAGACTCAATGCGTTCCGGGAGGCCATGTGTTCAAAAACCGAATCCTTCCCCCCCATTAGAAACAACGTGAATGGAATTAAACCGTCCCAGACCTTCAGATGATTCCCTGTTTTACCTTTCCTTATACCCAGCACCTGTCTCATGTACTGTTTAATCTATAAACAAGCACTTCTTTTCTAAACTTTACCAAACCACTCGCTCCTAGCCTCACGCCGGGGATGTCCTTCAGGTTGGCCTGCAGCATCTTTGCTTGTTCACTGACTCTGAAGTGCAGTCAGCGACTAACTGTTCTCATTCATCCAATCAGCAGCGGTTTTCCTACCTCTTCAGCTGCCTGTGATCAGTTCCTTTCACACCCTTAGCAACGTTAGCACTCTGGATGGCCTTTGTCTGTTTTCAAATTGTGCTCCTCACTGATTCCACCGGCCATAAAGGCATCCTCTCCTTTGTTGCCGAGAGATGCTTTTTTGTGATGCTAGGGTGTCAGCCTGAAAGGGTCGTCCTTTTGAAAACTAAAGTTTGGTTCAACAACCCAGACGTGTTTTCTGTGAGCAACTTGGTGGAGAACCGAACTGTTTGAGATGGGCTGGGAGACGTCCCAGAAATGAGGTCTGACCGGTGTATTTATGTTTCCCAGGTGCGAACAGAGGGACAGGACGTGTCAGGTCCCAGCCTGGGGCGGCGGAGCCCTAGCTCTCTCGGCTGGCCCGGTGGCTGTGCGCTGGGCACTGGGGGAGGAAGCGAGGGCTGCCCCCTGCCTGCCTTTGGGCCGGAGAGACCCAGCGGTGGGGAGACCACCACAGCGACGGCTCACAAGTTAAAGGCATGGTTTTGCTTAGGGAGGTGTTGGGTGAGATTAAAGACAAAGCCCCTTACTCTGCATCCTGTTTTGGAGGCCATGGGAAGAAAACCCTTTTTTTTCACCCTCTATTAAAGGAACTACCGATTTGTTCCAAAGAAAAGACAGCGATTTGCAGCTTCAGAGTTATCGCTGTCACCCCACTGGATTCCTCTCTCCATGGCTGGGACCATTCGATGACCGAGGAGGGGCGGGAGGGCCAGAGGTGACGCTAGCTGGGAAATCATGTTCTTTAGGGGGGAGGGCTTTTCAATTTGCCACATCCGTTTCATAAAACCCACAGCCAGGCCAAAGCTCCGAGACATGGGTTCCCCTAATGCGACTCCACAGATCTGTGTATGGACAGTTTCAGAGGTGGAGACCTGTACTCTCAGCAATTAACCACTCCCCAAGCCTGCACTGTGTAATGACCTAGGTATATAGTAATGGTGTTGTGCAATATTTTTTAAAGGTTCTTACCTTCGCCATCTACACTGACATTTTAACCGGTGAAATATGATGTCTGAGATTTGCTTTAAAATACTCCAAAACCCAAGTGTGGGGTGGGAGAGATGGCTGGAAAATGAACACTAGTTCTTGAAGGCTGGCAGCAGACACGTGGGGATTCATTATATTATATTGCAGCTTGGTGTGTCTGAATAGTTTCCACAGGAGAAGATAAAAAATAGGAAGTAAACTTTAGTTCTGGAACAGAAAATAAGGGCTGGAAGCGTGCCCGTGGCTTCACGAGGAGCAGAGTGCCGTGGGCGGCGGAATCGACGGGCCGGGAGGTGGCAGTTCACACGTCCACCGGCCACGTGCCCTGGCCGATGCCCACGGGTGTGGCTCTGCTTGTGGCGAGTGCCAGCGCCCTTGAAGCCAGGGGTTCAGCAGAGCAGCGAGGCCCCGGAGGTAAAGGGGTCTGAGTACGACTGTCCTCACAGGCTCCTGGGGGAGGGGCACGGGAGGAAGACAGCCTGGTCCTGAGAGCCGACCTTCCAATTCTAGAACGAGGGGTTCGAGTCCCCGCTAGCAGGACTGGACCAGTCTGAGTCAGAGTCTCTGCCTGGTTTGTAGCCTCCCCCAGAAAGGCCTGCAGATCAGCCCGGGCCGGGCCGGGCCGGGCCAGGGGGAGGCGGAGTGCGGCTTGTCAGTCTGCGTGTGGCGCAGTGGCTGCGGGATGTTAAGTGTTAAGCTGCGCTAGGGCAATTCAGGATGCTCCCAAGGCCCGGTGTCCTTCTGACCTGGGGCCCTGGGATGGGACTTCCCACGCTGGTAATAGGAAGCTTAGCTCAGGGAAGCAGCCTCAGGCCCCTGCGATATGGGGCTTGGGCGGGTACCTCAGCTGGCTGCCAGAGGCCCTATCCCTCCCACCCTGACAGAGGAATGCCTGCAGGAGCTGGCTATGCCTGCGTCAGGCCTGCTCCCTCGCTTCCCCTCGGGGGGCTTGCTCAGGTGTCCAGTGTGTCTTAGCCCTCACCGGGCAGGGACATCGCCGGGCACTTCTAAACTCACTCAGGCCCAGGCTCCTCTCAAAGCCAGCGATAACTCATGAAGAGCAGGCACACCCAGCCGGGACTGGCCTCCCGCAGGCCCGGGCAGCGGAGCAGCTGCAGAGCCGGGTTCCGAGGGACTCACTGGAACTCCTTGAGGTTCAAAGCGGAGGGAACTTCTGGGTATTATTGTGGGTCTGTCAGTCCTCCAAACTGCCCCTGAACAGCCGCAATTACCATTAGAATTGCTTGTTGGGAGCGCTGGAATGACAGGGGACTGTGTATTCCTCTGTACCTGGGGGGATGGGGCAAGGCCAGGAGAGGGAGGCACAGACACCTCTCAGCGGCGGCCAGTGCTGCAGGCCGCCAAGTGGGGCTGTGGAATCAGAGCTCAGCCCCCCGCCTCCTTACAGGCTCTGTGCTGGATGTCCGTGTGTTCACATGTGCAACTGATTAGGAATCAAAACCTGGGTTCCAGCAAGGTCCGCAATCTAAAGCGAGAGGGAGAACCGGGAAAGCAGAGGGGAAGCTGGTGGAGACGGGAACAACCTAATTTTGGTTTTGAATTTTAGGCTCTAAGAGCAAGGAGGAGAAATAGAAAGACCTCAGCGACGTGCTGGCCATGTAACATGACTTCCCTGCTGTGCACACACTTGGAAAGGACACGGGCAAAATGCACCTCGGCTGAAAGTTTAACCGACTTGTGTGAGTTGTGTTCCCAACCTCAGCGGCCGTCCGCATCCCTGTCACTCGGGGCCCAGGCCTCGCACTGGGAGCTGACACCACTCCGTCCCCGCCGGGTCTTTGCTCTCACCTGTCTCCGGGTCGCTGAAGTCTGGCAAGGTGATTGTGTTGAGCTGCCGCCTGTCTGCAATGGTTCTGTCCAAGAGGCTGCTCCCTCGTCCCGAATCACTGCAACACACGGTGAGGGATGTCAGTCATTTGAAGGGTGGGCGGGAGGAAACAGATTCCACCAATACAGACTCCTGCAAAGCAGCTTTTTTTTTTTTTTTTTTAAATATATTTTTATTGATTTTTTTTACAGAGAGGAAGAGAGAGGGATAGAGAGTTAGAAACATTAATGAGAAACATTGATCAGCCGCCTCCTGCACACCCCCCACCGGGGATGTGCCCGCAACCAAGGTACATGCCCTTGACCGGAATCGAACCTGGGACCTTTCAATCCGCAGGCCGACGATCTATCCACTGAGCCAAACCGGTTTCGGCGCAAAGCAGCTTTTGATGTTGGGTGTGTTTCTGATGCTGTTCAGCACCTTTTCATCTATCACAGAGCACCTGCTTCCTGGCTGGGGCTGGGATTGCTTTCAGCAGTCAACTGGCTTAAACCACACCCACGGACCTTGCTGATTTCAGCCTCTTTTTGCTATCTATACTAATAAAAGAGAAACATGCAAATTGGCCGTATCTCTGCTATGCCCACAAGCCACATCCACCAGCCAATAAAAGAGAAACATGCAAATTGGCCGTATCTCTGCTATGCCCACAAGCCACATCCACCAGCCAATAAAAGAGAAACATGCAAATTGGCCGTATCTCCGCTATGCCCACAAGCCACATCCACCAGCCAATAAAAGAGAAACATGCAAATTGGCTGTATCTCTGCTATGCCTACAAGCCACATCCACCAGCCAATCAGAAGCAAGTATGTAAATTAACCCAACCAAGATGGAGGAAGCCAAGCTTCCTGCAAACCCTGGCTGGCCCTGGCCTCCACTCAAGGCTACAAAGTTTCAATTATAGAAGATAAAAAAATCCTAATAAAAAATGGTGGCAGCCATGGAGCTGGAGAGAGCAGGAGGCGTAGGTTTCCCTGGCAATGGAGGAAGCCAAGCTTTCCCCCCCCCCCCCCCCACTCTCCCCCATGACCTGCCTCTGCTCAAGGCTACAAAGTTTTAATTATAGAAGATAAATAAATCCCAGATACTAGGGCCTCTGCTTGGGTCACTGGGGGCATGGCTGGCCTGCAAACCACCACAGGCCCCTCGCCCAGGCCACCACACGTCCCACTCTGATCCAGGACACCCTTCAGGGCAAACCAGCTGGCTCCCACCCATGTACCAGGCCTCTATCCTGTCTAATAAAAGAGTAATATGCAAATTGACCATCACTCCAACACACAAGATGGCTGCCCCTATCTGGTCAAAGATGGCTGCCCCCGTGTGGACACAAGATGGCCACCACAAGATGGCCAGCAGAGGAGGGCAGCAGTTGTGGGTGATCAGGCCAGCAGGGGAGGGCAGTTGAGAGGGATCAGGTCTGCAAGGGAGGGCAGTTGGGGGTGATCAACCTTGCAGGGGAGGGCAGTTAGGGGCAATCAGGCTGGCAGGGGAGCAGTTAGGCATCAATCAGGCTGGTAGGGAAGTGGTTAGGGGGTGATCAGGCTGGCAGGCAGCAACGGTTAGGGACAATCAGGAAGGCAGGCAGGCAAGCAGTTGGGAGCCAGCAGTCCTGGATTGTGAGAGGGATGTCCGACTTCTTGTTTAGGCTCCATCCTACCGGGATTGGGCCTAACTGGGCAGTTGGACATTCCTCGAGGAGTCCCAGATTGGAGAGGATGCAGGCTGGGCTGAGGGACACCCTCCTCCCCTCTGTGCACAGATTTCGTGCACCGGGCCTCTGGTTATAAAATATAAAAACGAGAGCTACAAGCCCAGGGCCCCATCTACCCTACTGGGGAAACTTGCGAGTCCCTAGATTAGGGGTGTCGAACTCAATCAGAGAAGGGGCCAAAATCTAAAATCCAGCCTAAATCGCGGGCCGAATGGTTTACTGAACAGTCATAAACTGTCATTGTGATGGAAACGCAGCGGAGTGCAGTGATGACAGCGCGGTGCGGGCCACATTGCAAGGTCTGGCGGGACGGATTTGGCCCGCGGGCCTTGTGTTTGACACATGTGCTCTAGATCATCATGCCCGTACACGCCCTCCTCATGTGTCCACTCGGCACCAGTGCTTCTTAGCCCTCGCTGCACAGGGACGTCACCGGGCACTTCTAAAACCGCTCACGCCCAGGGCCCACTCCAGAACACAAAATCAGAACCTCTGGGGCAGTCAACACTTTTCAAAGCTCCCCAGAAGGTTCTAACTTGTATCTGGATTCGAGGACCCCTGGCCCCTACTCTTCAAAGAGGAATCACAGCCAGGGCCTCGTTTGTGTCCCAGAACGAGCCTTCAAGATAAATTGGGTGTTCGATACCCGTCTGGCACATGAAGAGGAGGCGGCGTGAGGTCATAGAGTGAGGGGGTCCTGGGGAGGGCTGGAGCCGCCGCCCGCCCAGTGTTCCTGAGCTGGAGAAGTGGCTGTGGGGGTGGGGGGAGGCAGGGTCAGGAGGAGCACAGCAGCGTCGGTGGCTGCTTCCTGCACAAATCCCCTCTCCAGCTTTCTCCTGCATGGGACCCCCCCCCCCCCAGGCGTAACTGGAAGGACATAGAGCTAAGGGGCTCCGCTATACAGACCCCTGTTTTTATTGTTGTTCTTTACAATTCTGAGAAGCCTATCAGCACAAACAATAGTCTTCTTTTTTCCTCTCATGATATTCCATCCAAGAACCTCCAAAAACAAGCTGATTTGCCTCTTGAATTGTGAGTCTTTAATACATTCCTTTGTCCATTTGTTATCCATCTGGGGGCTAAGGGTGGTATTTTTTTTGTTAAGAAGTTCAAATTCCACAACAAAGGAACACAATTTCCTTCCTCACTGCAGCTGTGGCGAAAAGTGGCACAAACAAGGTTTGGTCTGAGACTTAATATGGCTTGCAGGCTGCCGTTTCCACGCTCAGGGATGGAGCTAGAGAAATCCACCGGAAACAGGAGGAAACCTGCTTCATTCAGGACAGAGGACCAGGCAGCCGGACGTTCTACGTCACCGGTTATGTGTTTTCTGGAAACTGACCTATCAGTTATTTCCACCACCAAGAAACAATAAATGTCTTTGAGCAGCAGATAACATCAATGTACATTTTCACTGCACACATTACTGACTGAATATTTCTGGCACGGGTCCCTGTGTTTAATGTAAACATTACTAAAAACATTACAAAAACATAAGTATTGCAATGGTTCCCCACGTAGGAGTTTTTCAGAAGATGTTATCTCAAAATGGAGTGCATTTTCCATCAGCTTGGGGATCCCGGGACACGCCCTGAGCTGCTGGCATTGAAAAGGAGGGTATGCCTGGGCTTCCATGGACCAAACCTGAGACAGTGGGTCAGACATGTCCGTTTCGGCCACAATCCTGCAGGCTCTCCCTCTCAGCACGTCCCGGAGCACAGGGCTGGCTGCCACGTGTGATGCCTGGTCCTGGGACTCAGCGGGCTTCTATCCCTACATCTGTCCTAGCAAGTAGGTGACGTCGGGCAAGGCCGCCTCCTGTGCCGCAGAGACGTCCCCATCAGATGGAGGAGTCGGAGGAGGGAGAGTTGCGAGGCACATCCAGGCGCCATTAGATACACCTGCAAACACCCTCTGAGGGCCGTGTGGGTGGCTGGTTTGTGGAGAATTCCCAGCCGTCTGGTGCAGGGGGCGGGCGGGGAAGGCGGGTGAGGGACCTCCAACTCCAAATGATAGAAACCCCAACTGAGGCCAAAATCTTAACCGTGAGCTTCAACCACCGACAATGACACAGCGTTTATTTCCTCTCCACCAGCCGAGGAACTGTATTTGGCTACGTTCCCTAGTTCCTTTTGAAAACAGAATATACGCATAACTATTCAACATGGAGACGCTTGGTTTCCACTCTGAATGTTGTGATGGATGAGAATGTGGAAGAAGGGGCCAATTCCCGGTCGGGCACAGGCCCAGGTTGCAGGTTCTCTCCCACTCCCTTCCTCTCTCTCTCTCTTAAAAAAAACAAACAAAAAAAAACCCAAAACCAATAGAAACGTATTTTAACAAGGAAGCTGGTTGGCCATGCAGAGAGGCAGAGAGGTGGAGGGAGCTTTAGTGTTAGGCCTGGGTTTCACTCTGCTCTACTGCTTGCTTCCCTGGGAGGACTCGGGCGAGTTATGCCAGCTTGCTCCGCTCCGATGTTATCTTCCTCGCGTGGAAAGGACAGCGGAGATCCTGCCAGGCTAAGGCACAGGCCGGGCACCGCAGGGAGCCGCCTGCCTAGGGAAAGGCTGTCCTGTGCGGTCCGGGAGGCGGCTGGGCCTTGGGTGGGGCTCTGGTGGGCCAGAGGTCACACTGTCCTGGGTGGCCAGGTGGGCCAGAGGTCACACTGTCCTGGGTGGCCAGGTGGGCCAGAGGTCACACTGTCCTGGGTGGCCAGGTGGGTCAGAGGTCACACTATCCTGGGTGGCCAGGTGGGTCAGAGGTCACACTGTCCTGCGTGGCCAGGTGGGTCAGAGGTCACACTGTCCTGCGTGGCCAGGTGAAAACGCACAAGCAGAGGGGGCCTTAGAGACGACGAAGAGAGTGAGGACCGAACAGGAGACGGATTTCTATCCGAAACGCAAGGGGAGCTGCAGCCCCTAGGGAAGCCCGTCCGGGCTTCTGCCACCACAGACACCTCGCCAGAGGGACACTCGGAGAGCACACCCACCGCTCTGCCCGCAGCAAGACACACGTCCTCGGCGGCGGGCGGGACGCTCTTTGCGAGTGTCTCCCGTGCGGTTCCGTGGCAGCTCAGAGAGACCTTCCTTCGAGCAGAAGGGGCCGCGCAGAGAACACGAAGCTGGGTCTGTTCTCACCTGGCCCCGCTACTGCCCGTGGCGTCCTCTGTGCTCCGCAGGCCTGTGCCCGCCAGGATGGAGCGGGAGGGGCAGGAGCCCTGGCAGGTTGAGCAGAGTCCTGCCTCCCCCTCATTCCTCCCCTCCCCCTCTCCTCCGATCAGGCTCCAAACCAAAGGGGCCCTGAGCGGGAAGTCAGCGTGGACCTTCTCCAGGTAGAAGCCAGGCCTCCCGCCCAGCTGCGTGCTGCCCAGTTTCTGCTGTTGCTGCTGTTTTTAAGCAGGGGTACTTCTCACGCATTTGCTCATGCGATTCCACCCTTTTCTAAAACCCCGTGTGACCCCACCGTAGATTCAAGGCTGCTGCACCAGCGCTGACGGGAGAACTGCACGCGTGCCGTCCCCGTCAGGACACGGCCCTCCCCCTCGATGCTCTGTTCTCCTGCCAAGGTCACATCTCCCCACCATTCGGGGAGGATGTCTAAATGTGCACAACGGTAAGGGCTACAGGAGAAACATTTATTTAAATCCCAGAGAAAATAAATAAAGTGTTTTTTTAAAAAGAGGAAGCTCCTTAATAAGGGGCTGCCTGATTACCACCCCCTTCCTCAGGCTTTGGGAGTAGCTGGAGGGGCGAGTAGCTGGAGGGAGCAGCAGCTGGAGGGTGCAGTTCTGTGATGGGCCTCCCTCTATCCATCCCCCAACCCCATCCGGGCTGCGCCTGAAGCGAGGGTTCCTCCAGCTCCAGCCCTCAAAGACCCTTCAGGAAACAGAGGAAGTAGGGACACAGCCCAGGCGTTTGGTTAAGCATTTCTAAAAAGCTCTCCAATTCTGCTATTTTTTTTTTTTTTCTCTTCACATTCAATATTCTTGGTTGCTAAGTGGGAGGAAATGTAGGGAGGTGGGAGAAGTGTGGAGAAACGAGGGAAAACTGGCAATGCGCTCGCTGATGGATTTATTTTCTCATTTCTAAAGGGGGCACGGGCAGAGGACCGTGTTGAGCCACGGGAGGAAGCAGCGGCCTGGGGGGGATCGCCTGCTGGCTGGGCTGGGGGCAGAGTCTCCCCCAAACCTGCTGCTTCTGATAGGCCAGGAGGGAGGGGCTTTAGGGGGCACAATTATGAGCATTTTCTATTTCTGCTTAAAGACTTGGAGAAGGAGAATATTTAAAAAGTTAAAATGATCTTTATTTTCAGAACATACCCTCAAAAGGAAAGATACTCTCTTCTCACCAAGAGGAGGGTTTATGGTTATGAAGGGAACTCTTTCTAAGTCCTGGCCCCCAGCTTTGCGAGGGGCTGCGTGGCTTTCCAGGACGAGCCCCCTCTGAAGCACACTCAGGGGCCTGCGGGCGTGTCTGTTAATGTCAGGTCCCAAGGACCCATGCCGTTAGCAGGACCCTGACCATGACGTGTCTTCTTTTTTTTTTTTTAATATATTTTATTGATATTTTACAGAAAGGAGGAAGGGAGAGAGATAGAGAGCCAGAAACGTTGATGAGAGAGAAACATCGACCAGCTGCCTCCTGCACACCCCGCAACCAATGCACATGCCCCCGACTGGAATCAAACCTGGGACCCTTCAGTCTGCAGACCGACGCTCTACCACTGAGCCAAACTGGTTTTGGCCATGAGGTGTCTTTTAACTGTAGGAGCTTTTGCAAAATAGAATCTCACCTGGAGCCCTGCCTACTCTCTGCTGCTCCCTGTGGCCCACCCCATCTTCCTCTCCCCAGGCCAGCAGCTGGGGACCTCGGCCACGGCCACTGCCACGTGCCGGCCTCCTGGGGGGCCAGACTGAGCATGCCACACCCTCAGTACACATTTACCATCTGAGTCATGCGTTTTTAGGATCCTGAGTTTAAGAGCACAATCTGAGCTGGCCATGCATCTAGCTACGAGCTTGAAAAACACTCTGAATGTAGGAGCGGTTGTTAGAATTCACTGTTATTGTTACATCCCTGTTTGTTACATTGCCTGCTTGATAGGCAGGGTGCACTCCGTAACCTAAACATGCAGCAGAAAAACTGCCCAGGCCTGAAAATGGACACAGCAGGTTATGGGGTGTCTTTCCGCGCGCGTGCGCGCGCGTGTGTGTGAGTGTGTATGTGTGTGTGGACAGTGCATGCCCCCAGATGGTCTGCCTCTGTGGGGTGGAGCCCTAGGACTGACTCCACTGACCACGCCTGGTCCAGATACAATCGATTCCCACCTTGCACAAAAGATGATCCCAAACAAGATATTTCACTGTCCTACAGGACCGTGTTTTTGCATTTATTTGTGCAAATTCGTTTCAGGGAATCTCTTTGTAAAGTCTCCTTGGTACAAGCCTTACCATTTTACTGATTCCCTCTTTAGCTAGTGAGGAAATAAAATCTTTGACACATGCTTAATTTCTAGTTGAGTCAGGGTGTTAACTTTTTGAAAATAGCACTTCACCATGCCCACAGCAAGTTCTACTCTCCTTAGCAGGACGTGGCCTGCTGTCTGTGCAGGTCTTTTAAATATTCCTGTAAGAATCTGATCTGGAATATATAACAGACTAGCCTCCCCATAAGTCATCAGAGAGTCATCAGTTGTGAGCTGAATCGAATGGCCACCATGGAAGCAAAAGCAAAAGAAACCCATGACCTATGGCCGCATTGGCCAGCAGGAGAAAACCCCCTTCAAGAGAGAGTGTGGGAGGCTCCCTGCTACCAGCTGCTGTGTCGGGGACCTGGGGGGCACCGCTCAATGCCAGTCGGAGGGCGCTGAGAGGCAGGGCCCGTGCGAACCCACACAGAACAGGCTGCGCTGGCCTCTTACCTGGGGTTGGTCAGGTTGTAGCAGGATTTCCATATCTGTAGCATGTGCTTGCAGGTGAGCAGCGCCTCGTCCGGGCCCCGGCACAGGGACTCCAGCTTCACTTTGGAGAACAGCAGTCTGTGGGGGAGACAGGGAGACGAGGACACAGCTCACCACCGAGGGAGTGGCCTGGTTCGGACTCGAGCTACTGCACTCACTCCGGGACTGGGCGTCCAAGGGCCTCACCCCAACAAGGGCTCCAGAACCCACGGCTCAGCGTGGGGCTGTGTCTGAGCCTCACCCCTGAGGCCAAGGCAGGCAACGACCATGTGTGTGGTCGGGCGAAATTCATCCGAGTGGCTAATTTTATTGAGGACACAGGGATTTCATTAAGGGCATGCTTTTTCAGAACAAAACCAATTTATTGGGTCGGCAACTAAGTGATTGCGGATTTAAAAAAGAAAATCAAAGAATTTTTTCATGGAACTAAATAACTTTATTCTGTAATGTATTGCCCATTTTGATCAATGACCTTTTGCCATCTTTCAGGCAGCATCATTATCCCACGTTCAAAAAACTTTTGGTTTTTATTAGCAAAAAACTGAATCAGGTACGATTTGACATCATCATCATTATTGAAATTTTTACCATTCAAGTTTTGTAAAGATCGAAACAAAAAGTAATCAGATGGTGCAAGGTCAGGACTATATGGTGGATGTGGCAAAACATCCCAACCAAGCTCCATTACAAATGACACAAAAGATATGACTTCGTTGATACAAATGTGATCCTCATCGTGTGAAGGTGGACAGAAATCGGCCAAACTACAAAAATTCATTGAAAGCTAATCTTAAGATTTATCTACAAAATGACACAAAAGATATGACTTCGTTGATACAAATATTTGCAATTAACCTTCCACAGTGATCCTCATCGTGTGAAGGTGGACAGAAATCGGCCTCAGAAGCTCCCGCGAGGAAGGGCAGCCCCTTCCTCCTCTTTGTCTCCCCCCAGCCTGCTATTTAGCAGCTAGGTCTTCACCAATTCCCTCCACAACCACTGACTCTTCCCTATTTTTGTTATCACCAATGGCTTCACCTCCATCAGACCTTCTGAGCGCTGAGCTTAGACCCTTCTCTCTTTCTAGGACCCTCAGAGTTCTTCCACCCAGGAAGTTACTTAGGTCTCTCTGTTACACACCAGCTCTCCTGGTCCCACGCCCATCACGGTCAAGGACCTGAGATAGCTCCAGCATGAGCCCAGGCACCTCTTCGTGGTCTTCCCACCCCGTTGACCCGCACAGCTCGAAGAAACTGTATTAGAAAGACCTCCAGCCCTGGTTTCGCCCAGTGGCTACAGGGATGGGGAACGTCTGGCCTCAGGCCACACAAGGCCCTCAGCATCGTTTGGTCTGGCCCTGCCAAGGCAGTGGGGGTGAGTTAATGAAACGTTTGACCAAGTAGAGCAGCCAAATTTGTAAGCTGATAGTTGTGTGTGACCCCTGAATGATGTTATAAATATCCAAATGGCTCTTGGCAGAGAAAAGGTTTCCCACCCCTGGGTTAGAGTACTGGCTCTCAGACCAAAGGGTCACGGGTTTGATTCCCAGTCAAGGGCACGTAACTTGGTTGCAGGCTTAATCCCTGGCCTGGGTTGGGGCACGTGCGGAAGGCAACCAATCAGTGTGTCTGTCTCTCATATTGATGTTTCCCTTTCTCTTTCTCTCTCACCCTTCTCCCTCCCTTCTAATCTCTCTAAAAATCATTGGGAAAATATCCTTGGATGAGGATTTTAAAAAATGTCCAAAAATAATTCTCATTCCCAGTTCAAGAAATTACAGTGATTCCTTCCTGTCTGTAATAATAAGTCACATCATGAGCTCTTCAAGGTGCTCTGCCCGCCGGCCTATGGCACATCCCAGTCTGAGCATCCCTCCAGGATAGAGTTCACCGGCCCAAGGCTATGGTTCTGTCATAATACTATGGATATATATGCCATGCTTTCAATCTTAATCTCTACTCATCCATATCTCCTCAGTCTTCCTAAATTCACCTAAAACCTCACCTCATCAAGTAAGTCTTCAACTAATACCACTTTTACACTCTCACAGTCCCTACTTAGTACGCTGGTGCTTCTTGTTGTTACTGAGGAGGAGGAGAAGGAGAGGAGGAGGGAGAGGAGGAGGAGGAGGAAGAGAAGGAGGAGGAGGAGGAGGAGAGAGGGAGGAGCTCCTCTCCTTGAAAGGCCTGTGTGCCTGGCCCTGCGTTGGCCCTTTAAGAACAATGTCAATGCCATCTGTGTAAAAACCCTTCTCAGTGGCTGGTGCTTCTCTCCCTTTGGTAACAGAACCCCAGCCCCTGTCTCGGGCCTCACCTCCATGGCGCCTAGAGCTGTGCTCGGCGGTCAATGGGCCTGAAATCAGCCTTTGCTCACCGCCTACTTTCTCCGTAAACCAGGATATAAAGAAACATGTTTCTAGTGATTTAAGTTAGACATCAAGGAGAACTGCTCAGCCCCCCAGCGTGACGGCCTCGTCTGAAGGCCTCTGGAGGAGAGGCTCTTTTCCTCCATGGTCCCGAGACGGAATGAGGGTGACCCAACTGTCACTGCGCACGCTCAGGAGTGAGCTGGCACCGACACTCCCTCTGAATGCCCAAGGGGACATGGGGCTCCGGGCAGTCAGGGGCCGGCTTCCTCAGCCTGGGTTTGCAGGAGCCGGATGATGGGACGGCAGCCAGGTAATGCGAGGGAGGCGGTCTCTCATCTCCAAGCGGTGGGCACAAAGCGTGAGCCCAGACAGGAGACCAGGCCTCGGTTTCTGCTAAAAACCTCCTCAGGAAGCAGACTCTCCCTGAGGCCTTTCCAGGCCCACCTGCAAGGAGTGACAGCCCCTCAGGGTGTGTGTGTGTGTGTGGAGGGGTTTTCAGGGCCCAGATGCTGAGCCTGCTGACATCTTCAGTGAGCCCGGAGGGGGTGGAAGGTTCCCACCAGAACCTCCCACCCAAGTGAGTCAACTGGGCGAGGTGTTACCACAGAAGGAGAGGTGCCGAAGGCCACTTGCCCGCTTCTGGTGGAGACCTACCGGAGGCCGAGACCTGCCCGGATGCGGGCTGGTGGCCGAGCAACTCTGGCCACGGACACCTGCCTAGGATGGGGCCAGGTTCTCTGGGAGCCACCCCAGTTCCTCGGGCTCGGCCGGGCTTGCAGGGTGCCTGCCCCAGGGAGGGCCTCCAGCTGGTGGGGATGGTGTCCCCGCACAGGGGGTGCTGTGGCTCCAAGAACAATGCTCACGGGCCCTTTGGCGGTGCCCAAACGCCAGAGCCCACCGCCAGGCCTCAGCTTGGGGAAGAGTTCCGAGCTAGGTTCTTGGCTGGAGAAAGAACTTCTAATTAACATGGAATAACAGCTTGCATGCACTTGACTGAGGATGTGGAGCTGAAGAGGTGTGGGCTGGGTTTAAGGGAACCAGAAGGAAGAACAATAGGCGGACTGCCGAGGCCCGCTGATGGAGAGCGAGGCAGAGGAGCCCAGGAGAGAGACTGGCAGAGACAGGGAGCCCACGGGCAGGGCGGGGGGAAGCGAAGGCTCAGTCGCCGTCAGCTGTTCCCGAGACAATGGGCAGGACGCCCCGATGAGCCTCCCCCTGGGATACGCCCTCGAGCGCACAAGTGAAGGCGGGAGGCAGAGGCGCTGCCTCAGACTGCTCCTCATCACCACGTCCCAACCCCGAGCTCCTCCACAGGCAAAGACACCAACAACAGGACAAGGAGACCATCACCATATCCGCCGAGCTGCTCCCACAGGAGAGGGCTCCTGGGGGCCTCTGACCGTGTCACCTGAGCAGGCCAACAGCGATGACTAGCATTAATTTGTCCAAAGGCATTACACTCAATCTACCGGAGAAACGATGAGGTCAAAAAGCAAGCAGCGAGCTGCCAGGCTGGGAGCGGCCAGGCCCGGAGCGGCCGGGCCCGGAGCAGCCGGGCCCAGAGCAGCTGGGTCGGGTGCGGCTAGGCTGGGAGCAGCAGCAGCCAGGCTGGGAGCGGCAGTGGCCAGACCCTGAGCAGCTGGTTGTGGAGAGGACCAGAGCAACAGAGGCCAGGCCCGGAGCAGCCAGGCCCGGAAGAGCTTGCTCCTCGCCTGCCCACACCCCAGGACTGCCTCTCAGACATGGCTGGAAACTTTTGGGGGAACTTGAGGATCTGCTGAATCAAGTGATGAAGGCTTAGATCTGGATGTGTTGAGTTAGTATAGCGCTGGGGTGTTGATCTGTGAGTGCCTTGTGTGGGGCCTGGATGAGGTTGGTTGACCTATTTGGAAATGTCTTTTGTGTGAAGTGTATCCTTGGGCATGTGGAGGTACTATTGATTTGAGAAAATGCTAAGTAACTGATTTACTATCTGAAAAATTTAAAGTTCTGAAAGTTTAAGATCTCTTGCCAAAAAGAGGTTTTAAAGCTAACACCTTAATTTTAATGGAGAAAGGGGAAGACAAGCCCTTCCCACCCAGAACAGGTAATCCAATTCCAGGCAGCAGCTATCTTTAAACAATGTGTCCATTTACACTTGAATGGCTACACCTTTTGATAGCCTAAGGGCAAGTTTACATGTAAACAAGTTTGCTTCTCAATTCCCAGGGCAGAAAAAAAACAAGGTTTAAAATTATTACATTTTAAAATTTATTCTTAGAAGTGTAAAAGTTTATTAATTAAAAAAAAAACACCACCACCAACAACAACAAAAAAAAGGAGATTGAACCACCTGATGAACAATAATAGCTGTTCATTGTAATAGAGTGGGGGGGGGGGGAGAGTGGTGGAGGGAGGAAGAGACTGAACATAAACTGTGCACCTATGGATGAGGACAATGGGGTGTGGGGAGGGGGCAGAGGGTGGGGTGGGAACCTGGTGGAGGGGGGAAGAAAAGAGGAACCTTTGTAATAATATGAACAATAAAGATTGATTAAAAAAAAAAAAAAGCAAGCTGCGAGAAAACGTGGGGCCAACCAGCCTGGACGGCATCTCCGTACGTGGCACCTCTGGGGGCACAGCAGAGAGTGACGCCCTGAGACCACCTGCTGCCCGCCCCCCCCCCCCCCCCCCCCCGGGTCTGACCGTGAACTAAGTGAGATGTTTCTCT